CTTGAGATTCATGGATGCCAGTTTGAACATTTTTGCCGGGAGGCTAATTTCTTAGGAAGAAAATGTGTATGTGGTGCGCTTTATTTAACCCCTGATTTCTGGTGGGTTTGAATGTTTTGACACTTGGGAAGCATCCGGCTCCCAGCGCTAGGTGATGGCATTGTTTCAGGAGTTAGAGGAAGGACATTGGGACAGGGAAAAGGAGGCCTAGGCAGAGGAATAGTCAGGGGGAGAAGCTAGCTGGATGCTGTTTAAATGCCTTTCCAACTGCTCCGCAGGAAATTGTGCTGGGGAATTGCATGCTTCCTGCCCCACTGTGGACTTGGTTTACAGTACAATACTGTCTGTTTTGGTGATGCTCCTTTTTTGTGTGTGTGTGAAATATTGGGAAGCCACCATAAAGGCTTGAGGATAATTACTTTTCTCCCTACACCTTACTGGCTAAACAGCTTTTTTTACCTTCCTTTAACTGCAACCGTGGTCAGATTTTCTAATTGTGAATGTTGTGTGTGTTCCATTCCCAAAGCAGCTGAAAACTGTCACCACCACCGTGAGAAATGCCGTGGTGTCCTCCTTTATGGTGGGCCATGTCCATGGTTAGCAGTCTGCCATCAGGAGAGTTATCGTGAACAGAACAAAAGCCTCTGGATTGTGAGCCAGTGAGAATATATCAATTTTTAGACACTGGCTGGGACAATTTTCAAAGTTGTTCAAATCAGGGCTTACTTTTACCTTGAGAAGAGAATTCAGTGGGAACATGTTTGCTCCCCACAGCAAACCTAAATGCTTGCCTCCTAGCATATGCAGTAAGTGCATGTAATGCAGTAATGGGGCTTTTTTTATCCTCTCCAATATTGTCCGACTTACACAAAGACACATTTGCTCATCATCATAATAAGTGAAAAACAGTGGAAGATCAACTGTTCTCAAGTTTTTGTGTGTCTGATTAGATTTTTATTTATTCATTGTTGGCTCTTAATACTTTCAAACGTAACTCTAAGATGACATGAGGCACAATTACATGTGATAAAAATTATGGACGGTGGCAAAAACGAAATTCTGCATGTTTATAAACCATTTAGAAACTCTTTCGGGGAGGGATAGGGTCTTGTAACAATGATCTGTGTACAGACAAATGTGTCCAAGGTGATGGGGCATTTTAAGAAAAGAATTGTATTTTGCAGACTTAGGTGGAACTGGAAGTTACTCCTGGGTGTTTTTAGAACATTGAAATCCCTACGGGCTTTTAAACATTTTTAAATAGACATTAACTTACGTGCTGCAGTATCATATCATGTAAGGTAAACAGTATAGATAATTGTTACGTTTTATCCAGCAAAGAGAAGTTTTCTTCTGAAGAACAGTTCTTCAAGTTGATTTCCCTCCTCTTAGAAGTTGGAGGTACTTTGAGAGGCTTTCTTCTTTGAAGGGCTAGAGATCTCTAACTTCCAAACTAAACTTGGATTCACAGGTGTGTTTATGTTACAGCGCTATACTCTGCTTAGAATATTAAAGTTCCATTTTCTGATAATGTTGGTCCTTAACTTCCAGGCTGCCTTTATTACCTTCACAGTTTTACTCAAATCCTCCCTTATTTCTTAAGAAAATGCAGCATTTGATTCTAAATGACATAGAAGGGAGCACCGGGGTTGTAACTTTCTGTTTGGGGAGAATCCTGACCTAAAGTTCAGTCTTTCCTTCCTAAATTGGCTTAGAGATTAAGCTAAAACACCTGGGAGATAGGAAGTGTGAGCACTGAGACGTGATGGTCAGATTTCAACTCCACTAGAGAAAAAAAAAAAAAAATTGCAGGATTTGCTTGGCATTCCCCAGGGACCTAGAGCTGTGCTTTCCTCCAGGCCAAATTACACTCATTTTGAGAGAGGGCACATTGAGGTAATTGGTGGGACCGCGTGGGGAAGAGTTGAATTCCAGCTGCTTCCATTCCAGGTAGCTGACCTGAAAATGAACAGGGGTGGTTGACAATGGTGGCCAACGTCTGACTCGGCTTTTTCACCTCCGCAAACCTGAGGGTGAGAATTATAAAGAACTGAATGACTGCACCAATAATGACCGTGTTCAAGTGGGAATTGCTGTGTTGGGAAAAGCTCACACACCATTTTCAAAATAGTTGATGCGTTTACCAACCACAGCCCTATTACTGGAGCCCAATAAAGTTTACCCACAGTGTGGAAACACCCCTTGTTTTTATTGTCAGCCGTCTAGTGAGCGTGTCATGGACTCTCACCTCTTCTTGGGTCCTCACCCCTTTGGTTTCCATCCTAAAGTATTCATAATGGAAGCCACTTGGAAGGCACCAGATAGATTCCCACCTCCAAGAAAGGAACAAAACAGAAATGTGTTCTCGACTCCATTTCCCCCTAAATTGTGCCCTTTTTTTTCAGTAAGGAGAATAACACTGTGTTACTCAATAGTTTTTCTAGCGAATAAAGCAAATTAAATTGATGTTACATGCATATTTAAACTCCATCCAGTTAAGTACTGACGTGATTAAAATAATCAAATGTATTACTTAAAAAATTAAAAAGGATAAATTCTGCACCCCATTATTTTATTGACTTTTCAATATAAATTGCAGAAATGTTTACATTCCTAATGGCATTATTAAGATAAACTGACAAATCAGAGGGAAAAAAGTTGATTGGCCAGCACGTTATTATTTCTGCACCTGCTGTCACAATTCAGAAGAGCCTAGCAGTTTTGAGCAGGGTGGATGGTTTTTTTTTTCCTTAGGCTTCCTTTGTGTGACTTGGGGGTTGGGATAAATGTTTAACAAGTGTGGTTTCACTTTGTAGTCCTTTGTGTGTGTTGTTGTGATTAAATGACTACAGTGTACTTCGTGTAGCCTTGGAATTAGTACGCAAATGTCAGAGGACTGCAAGGTCTCCCTGTACCTGATGCACTGAACCTCCTTGGGGAGAGTGGAAGGTCAGACTTAGTGGAAGTTGTTCAGTACAGATATAGCCAACTCTTCAGTTTTATACTGGGCATCTCAAAGATCTGGAAGGAATACTGGAGATTTTTATTTTCTGATTCTGTGTCTGCCAGGAGGTTAGAAAGACCTGGAGAAACTTCTGTATAATGCAGGTGACATAACATTACCAATGCTTTACTTGAAGGTTGGGTCTTTCCTCTACTTCTTTGTGCTCTTAATCTGGGGTATCATTTTCCCAACATGAGTTACATTTCTCTGCAGCAGAGATGGCAGTATTTACTAATAGAATTCTAGACTTTGGAGAGTACTTATTATTCACAGGACAGCTCATGCAAACCAACTTCAACTTTGTGCACATGGTGGGATGATAGATGCTGAATCCTTGTCTTTATTTTATTATATTTTACATATTTTTTAGGAATGCCATCCTGTTCTTTGAGAGGCAATGACATTAGATTTGTATTGAGAGGGAAGAAAGTCTATTGTCTCATGCTGTGACTAGAGCTTCTAAAGATGTGAATGAAATGCATTACTTTCTGAAAGACAGTAGTTACCGCCAATTCACAGGAGTTTAGACTCCGTCCTATAGTAATTGAAACTCCCAGACTTTAATAACACTTAATGTGTAGCATGGATCCCACTTAATCTCCCCCTGTCTTCGTAGCAAAATGTTTACATAAATGAACTCTCAATTTGATATTGACTATTTAGCCTAGTCCCTTCCAAAGTTAATACTATTTCCATAATTAAACATGTTCGGCAGTTGCCACAGGGCTACTTCTTAAAACCCATGCTCCTCCTCGTTCTTTTAAGCCATCTGTTGGCTAGGTCAGCAATGAAATGGGAGCCTGATTTTATAAATTAAAGCAAGTTCTCTGCCATTGTATTAGACAGTGTGCTTCAGTGGGAGCTGAAGTTAACATTCCATCATATTTTCATTTTGTTGTATTTGCAACAGAAATGTATGTGCTCAAATTGGTTATTTTCAGCCTATGACAGCTGTGATATTTAAAATGATCACAGCTGTTATGACTTAAAATTGATTTTTCTATTAACACCTGAAAAAAAAGCCCTGTGCTATATTAAAAACTTAAATAACGTGAGTGTAAAATTAGGTCTGTTGGTGTGAGTCTAGTGACCTCACTTCCCAGAGGTCTCAAAATGCAGCAAACCTCTGGGATGCTGGCAGTGAATGGGCAAACACTGGGAAGGAGTGCTGGGTAGTTCGATGCGTTTCACTTTGAGAGGATTCATGTCATGGCAGATGCTCCTGGCGCTGCTTTAGAGTGTCAGTTTTGTTAATAAAACCTTTCAGGATTCAGTTTACTTAATTAACCCCCAGAAAGTTGGCTTACAGGAATCATTATGAGAACCTGACCTCTAAGCTGCAGAAGCTGTGTTATCTTTCAGATACAACACTGAGAAATGCAAAACCACACTCACTTGTCCCTTGTGGAGGATGGTTTATTTCTATGGCCTTTTCCTCCTCCACTTTTAGATGATGGACAAAAGGAAAAGCCATAGCAAAGCAGAACCAAATTATACCTGATTAGTTTCAGGCAAGCCTTTATTTTTAGAATCTTTATTACATTTTTTTATTTCTACTTTGCATATCTATTAAACATGTTTCAAAATTAAATTGTGATTCCTAGGTTCCATTGGTCTCAAGGTTTTTCTAGTCTGAAGTTGGTTGAGTACTGGAGCATTTGATGTAGCAATGGACTGACTACTTAACAATGAAACCTTTCTTGGCCTTTTGGTGTAGTGTATAAAGCTTACCACTGGCCCTGTGTGCGATTATTTATGAATAATAGTGTGTTCTCCAATGCATTGCCAATCAGGAGCTACGGAGATTAAGCTTTTTGGCTGGCCCTCCGCTTTTCACCTGCATAACTCAATCAGAATTGAAAGCATGGCAGATTTTACTATGATAGATGTATGGCTGGATCAGAAAAAGAATGGATGGCTGGTGGGTAGATGGATAGGTTACATAACTAGACAATAACAGATAGTGCCAGTTATTTATTGCTCAAACATGTTTATTCATTAGAAAGTTATGTACAATGCATTAGTTTGGCTATTATATATAGATAAGAGCAAGGCAGTTGAAAATAATAAACATTTCTATTACATACTTGAGATCACTACAGAGCTAATTTTAAAAGTTCCAGAACAAACACAGATTGCTGATTTCAGTGCCACAGGTCACAATATCACATCCAAAGTGATCATGGATGGGTGTAAATGACTTTTCCATGGTTTGGAGGGCAAAAGATACTTTAAGCGATGTTTATAGAAAACTCCAGAAAATCCAAATGGGTATTTGTCATTGACAGACTCTGATTACAAACATGTATCTCTAGAGCAGTGGTGCCTCCCAGGGGACAGATGGAAACAGTCTTGATTGTCCCAGTTGTGGGGATGGGGATGGGGTTGCTGTTGGCAATATGGTGGGAGAGGCTAAACCTTGCATACTGTACAGAACTTCTCAGCAGGACAGAGGCAGAGGAGTCCAGCTTTCAATATGAAATCTGGACATTCATAGTTAATTCTTGCCATGTGAGCTACATACAGAGTCCCTTCCTTTGCCTCCCTCCTTCCTGTCCCCTTTTCATCCTTCCTGTTCCATTTTTATTTCCCTTTCTTCTCCATGCTCTTTTCTTCCCCCCTCCATTTCCTATCTTTTCACTTCTCTTTTACCATTTTCCTCCTTCCTTCCGCCTTCTTTTCCCTTTCTCCTTCCTTTCCCCCTTCCCTCCCCACCAACCAATGTCTTTCCTTTTTATTTGTTTGAGACATCACTCTATAGAGTATTGTACAACTATTTCCACGGTTTACCAAGAAAATGTAATCTTTCATTTGCAGTATTGTCAATATAGTAAACTATTTGTGAACCAACTGGAATGAGTTCAAAGCAGCTGTTAGACTTTATTGAGTCAATAAGGGACATTTTCTCCTTACCCTAAATATATGTACTCACATCTTATCTTTTAGAATATTGGGAACTCAATCTATGTTTCTTGTTTTATAGAATCCTAAAAGAAGTATGTTACTTTTTCTGCTAGAGGACATAAAGATGAAAAAGGGTATTATCCTAAAGAATAATTAGCAGTTACCTATAAATATTTGAGGGGAGCGTCACGGATATTGTTTGAATCCTTGTTAAATATATGGTTATATGTTAAATATATACATAAAAAAGGTTATAAGATTAAAGCAAACCTGAGGGATTCTTCAGCTTTCCCAACAGTGCAGCTTTTTACTCTACTGACAACAGGGACCTTTCCTCCTGTCACTGCCCTGTGTCCACCATCACTGTATCTTCCTGGCTGTGATTTGGAAAGTGATACGGAGACCTTTGTTGCCCTCCCTAGCACTCTATGCAGGAAGGGTGAAGGATCCGATGGCAGAGTCTTAATGCCTGCCAACTTTTAGAACCCAGTACACCTCACCTCTTCGATGCCAAGTTTTGGAGAGACTTGCCAAGTCTGACAGTAGCTTGTGCCACCCTTCAGTTTCTGCCTGAGGCTTTGCAAGGTTCTCCAAGGTTTGATCAGAGTAGACACGGCATGGCAGTTGGGCACAAGGACCGGCAGCTTGGATTCACAGCGGACCTTTGGGACAGATAAGTTTTAGTTACTGTTTAGTGCGTTGACTCTTGGGATTGCGGAGCAGCCCTGTAAGCATGCTCCCTGGAGCCCTGACCACCTTGGCCCTGCTCAGTAGCATTAAAGTCCTACTGATAGCTAGAGAATTAGCTTCGGCTCCCTCTCTTTCTGAGATACCTGTGAATTTGCCCTACATTGGCTTTTATTTGGGTCATTTTGTCACACGTAGTACAGGATTGTCTTGATTCATAGCGAGCAGTTGCAGAGATATCATTTTAGCTGTTGCCATGCAAGAATTACAGGTTACCATGGTGGTCATGATTTCGTTTATTGGAGGAGTTCCATTTCTAGGAGGTGGTGATTTTTTTTTTTTAATGTTGTCAACGGACTTCAAGGAAAAGGATATTTTAGGGATCATTCGACTCGTTTTCAGTTTTGACCAATCACTGATTATCTGTGTTAGGCTCTCAGTATTTCTCTGATATTCCATAAACCCCGGAATAATCCTCTGAATAATTTTAAATCAATAATATGCTTATCATTGATTTCAGACTGTGCTTTGTAAAGGCAAGTTATGTAATATTTGTATGTTTATAGGGTATGAAATATTTGTAGAGTACCTTTTCTTTAATGTTTATGCAGCAAGTACTGTAAAGCTATGATAAAACTTAGACTCTTTTATTGTAGTCTTAACATTTGATAAAATACATCTGCAAGCCCCCGTTCCTTCAGAACATGCTGTCAAATACCTCCCAGAGTAATGTAGCCCACTGCACCCCATAAGATAGGTACCCCAAACCTTGTTAGCCTATTTCAATGGTGGATGCTACCCTGATTAGTAGGATATCTACTAGCCACATGTGGCTGTTACTATTTGATACATTTTTAAAAATTAAGTTTCCCAGTTACACCAACTACATTTAAAGTCCTCAGTCACATATGGTAGGTGTCTCTATGTGGGATAGCTCAGAGAACCTTTGCAGCATCTCAGGAAGTTTTGTTGGGAAGATCTGGTCTGAGAAATGGAAGCACATGGGAATGTAATAACTTGCTCAAAGGTCACATGGATCACAAAGAGCCAGAATCCCTCCTGCCATGTGTTTCAATATGGTATTTTGCCTTTTTCTTAACTTTAGATAAGTTAATGCCAATTCTGAGATAGGAATGAACATTATAAGGCCCCTTGTATTATCTGAGATGCTCAAGCCAATTATATTTGTTGCCCTTTCATTTAAAGTGAGTGCTTGATTTACCTAATCTTTCTTAAGGATCAGTCCCTTTGTCTGTTTGTGCAGAGCAGAGACTTTGAAACCCCTTCCTCTGTCTCAACTAATGAGGTTCTGAAGGAGAGAACTTGCCATGTCTTAAGGCATCTTTGCACATCCATTAGCTTATCATCAACAACCAAGAAATGTTTCTTCAGCCCAATGAACGTGATGCATCTGGTGTACATGCCCATGTCTCTGCACAGTAAGGCAGAGCCTTGAGTGGAAGGTTCTCGTGACCTCCACAGAAGAGAGACTGCACTTATATCTGCCCTTGTCATTCTGCCAAGGTTATATTTTTTCTGGAGATGGTAATGTACCTGTTCAGGTTTTCATGAGCGTGGGGAACACATTCATTAGTTCGTTGATACCTTGTACCTACCGTTCTTGAATAAGTGAGAGGATTGCCTAAATTTCCAATCTCCCCTGGCTGGGCAGACTAGGTGCTTGACACATGCTCCGATGCTTTCTTCTTGGGCATCGAATGGTATCACAAGCCATGGTTTCAGTAATAATCATGGTGTCAAGAGGCATTTGTGCTCTGTGCACTCTTTCAGTTTGGACCGGGTTGAGTTCCTGCAATGCAAATCCTACTTTAAACTTAGCAGTGCCAATTTGCATTAATATTTTGGTTTCATATAGCCAGCTCTCGCATCTCACAAACAAGTGCATTTTAATGAGTCCTGGCAGAATGATAAAAAGGTTATTCATTAAATACTATTGTAGAAAATACAGCAGTTGGCTGCCAGAAATCATTAAAGCAAAATATAATGTGCATTGAGGCCACAAGGACGCCCCTCCTTAGGAGTATGTGACCCTATGGCATTCAGTGCAGTAAGAATCAATGCTATTCACACAGGCATGGAGGGTGGGGTTAATTAATATAAAATACAAGCCAGCATACCATTGACACCAGTGTTTATTTTTAAGATTTAAGCATATTTTATATTTTTGATATCTGTCATGAGATCATAGGGCATCGCCTCAGGATTCATGTGAAGGACTTTTAACAGTCACGAAGACTGAGTTGTGAAGCAGTGTGTTCATAAAGCTTACAATTTGGTTTTAAATCCTGAAGTGGGATTCATCCCCCCCCCCATTTGATTTTTTTTTTATTTCCCTTCCATTTCTGGAATGCTTTATGAGAATATTGAACATTTTTTTCTTTCTTTTCTTTTTTCTTTTGCAGGGCAACATAGGGAAAAATTACAAATTTGTAACTGGCTCTTTAGAAATCCACCACTTTAACACATGCGCCCTTGCACGTTGCTGCTGCCGCCGCCGCCGCCATGGCTGTCGTGGCTTGTGCTTCCCAATTATAATGAGCTTTTTTGGTGGTGTTACTGCAGTTGTTTCTCCCCCCGCACCCCCCCTCCAGCCCCCTCAACTCACTTTTCCCAGAAGAGAGTTCCAAGCCTTTGAAAATTCTCATGATTTTGCAAATCCACTCTATTTTTGTCGAGAATACAGGAAAGTTAAAATTGGCTGGTGTGCTGCCATGTTTTGAATCCAATTTTAAAGCAACCCTTTGCAACCCGGGGAGCAAGGCTGACATCTTTGTATCTGTAATGAAGATAATTACACCTGCAAGGTGACATCACTGGTGAAGTGACAACCGCACTTGAGAGCCGCGTCCCCCGTCTCCTCTGAATTCTGTGGACCACTTTTGGCATTTAGCTCCAGACACCTCTTTCATGCTTGTCGTTTGAGAAGTTGCTTTCAGATGAATTTACTAAAGCTGAGTGACACAGGGTTAAATTAATTCTTTTCTTTATTACTCAAAGTGATACAGACCTTTCTTGGACTAATGTAGCTTAATTAGTGGTCAATTAAAACTGAACATTGCTGAATTGAAGTTCTTTGATCAAACTCCCTGGCATGGGCTCTCTTTCTTTAACTAGCCACCATCTTGAATTCATTTGGAATCAGTAGTATAAACAAGTTTAAAACTGGTTCTTTTATAAGAAAGTCAGCAGGCTTGTATGGCTGCGGTTTCCTTTTTTACTTCTGTAGGCGGCAATTCAAAGGCATGCTAAATGAAAACAGTGCTACACCCTGGAAGAAAAAAATACATTTTTAAAAGTAACAGTAAGTAGTCAGTAAGCAGTCAGTGCTCCAGCCCATTTATCTGTAAATAATTAATATTCACTCTCCCAATATAAAGGCAAACTCCCCTTTCTCCTACCAGAGGACCACAGTTAGAATAAAGCGTGAAATGCACACACACACACACACACACACACACACACACACACACACCCCTACCTGGGTGTTGCTTCAGTAGAGGAGGGGTGACTGCCACAGAGATGGGTCCAGTTGCTCCTTCTTCATTGCTCATGGGATACTATGTCATCTCTGTGCCTTTGAGACTGGGATGAGATACTATGTGAATTGGCTATTGATTTCATCATTTATTTCAGAGGGCATTGCTGCGTTCATATAAGGGCTGAACTGGTGTAATTCTACAGTATGTCACTTGGTTGAAGTGTAGAGTGCTTTTCTTAGAGTTTTGGTACAGTTATTCTCCCAAGCCCGGAAAGGAAGTGGGAATCGGAGGAGAAATTATCAAATAGCTAGCGATGATTCAGCCTTGTCTGTTATCCAATGCCCTGTCTTAATATTTAAAGTACATGTGCTGCTCTTGTCTAAACATAAATTGATACCATTCAGAAATCCCAGGTTTTGAAAGCTTAACAACCTCAAACCATTGAAGATGGCATTCAGTGACTGCAGTATACTTTAAGGTATTCATTAAAACCAGTAGTGCTTGGATTGGAAATAAAAGTAATAAAGTACAATGAAATCATTAATTTGTTGTCCATACATGGCTTCTTCTGAAATGTTCACAGGAAAGAGAAAGGGGAGTTTGGAAGTGACTGTGTACTGTTTCCCTGTCCCACAAAAGATAAGATTTTTGCAGTTTTCATTCCTTATATCCAAAATTTATAGTTATAAACTGTAATCAAAATTAAAAATTTCATCCCTTGACGGAAAGCGAAATTGTTTATAGTCAGTGCGCCTTTCAGCGTTCTATCTCGCCTTCTCCCTAAAGGGCTGATTAAGGAGAATAATTGGGGATGATAGCAGGAGGAAGACGACAATTCCATTTAATTAAAGATAATTTATTTTACTTTAAATTGGTGAGGTCCCACATGAATAAGAGTAGATTTAGCAGATAGATTTATTAATGGGTACTGACATCTCAGCTGACAGAAAAAGCAAACATTTTCTTTCTTCATTGTTTTTATTGCGTCCCAGCACCTGAAATTGCTGTCAGCCGGCTTCCTTCGCTGCTCCTCAGAGTTGCAGGCTTCACCACCAAATATGCAATTACTGGTTTATCACTAAAACCAACTGGATCCTCTCTTGAGTTAAAAAAACCAAGCCAGGCCTATGAAAAGCTGCTCAAGTCCTCAAGGCTGACGTGAGAAACACACTCTTCTTAAAGGATGTTGACTGCACTGATTTTCACTAGGGTTAGTGCATGGAGCGTGGCGTGTAGTTTTGGCATCTAAAGAAGGGCCATCTCATTGCCACTGGTTTGGGGGCAGCATGCTTGCTTGAATAGTCCTTCAAGGAGGTTGTACCTCGCGTGTTGAGGATAATGAAGAACTCCATGGGAGTAGCATCTGCCAAACACCCAGGTTCACTCCTGACCAGCCTCCTGTAACCATTAAGGCTCTTGGTGTGCTTTTTTTTTCTCCCGCAGTTATAAACAGGTCCTGGAAGTTATGGGGGGGAAATTCTCCAGTTCAAACGTGAGTTCAAAGAAGTAATGCGGTTGTTGTCTTTATATTCTTCCCAGTCTGTAAGGGTTCTTCGACACAACATACATTTCACAAAACTTGTAAACTGCTTCTGATAACCTGCCGTTTGCCCCAAGTCTGTTGGCTGTGTGCTCCAGGTGTGTAGTCACACCTCCTCTTAGCAGCACATTCCTGTATTCCAGCTCATGTTTTCTGTTGCTTGGTCGTTTCTGTATACCTGCCTAGTAGGTTTCTTTCACACCGGATTTTTCTTTGCATGAAATGTAGGTTTTCTGAACTCTTCTTTCCCAATGGGCTTCTCATGCCCACAGCCTCCTTCTTCTGGTCACACAGACCCTCTAGTTTGACTTAGGGTTATGTCCCTAACCTTTTGTTGCTGTCTTTTTCTTTTCCTTTTGGGGACTGATCGTAGTAGAGTTTTTATTTTATTTTAACCAGATGCTTGTATTTTGCCCTCTTCTAAAAGCTCACTTTTCAAAATTGATGTTAGATCTGTGGTGGTGCTGTTGAAGGATTACTTTTTATTAAATCTTACTTTCCATGTTGTATTAACCTTTCCCTCAACCGAAGCATCTTTTCCCTGTTATCCACCCATTGAACCTGTTGGTCTTCATAAAGTAGGCTCTTGGCTCTGTGCTTGACCCACAGTGCCCTCTCACTTTTATCCATCTCTTTTATTGTTCTTGTCCTTAATTTATCTTGTATCTTTTTTTTCTTCTACAATTATTGAATATGTGATACTTCCCCTCCCCCCCTCAAATTTTCCAAAGAGAAAGTGCTAGGGAAGCAGCATCCTTGGTGGACAGTGGAATAGCTGCATTAAATTCTACATTCTCTTCAGAATTGTGCAGTCATGAATTTAGATAGTATAGGCATGAAGTCAGGCATCCAGCTAGACTAAAACTTGGCTGAAAATCCTAGGAGGGAAAACCATCATGTTTAGGGAAGGTAGCCTCAGTTGTAGTGTGTGTGTGTGTATGTGTGTGTGTGTGTGTGTGTGTGTGTGTGGGGGGGAGAGAGAGAGAGAGAGAGAGAGAGAGAGAGAGAGAGAGAGAGAGAGAGAGATTGGGAGTGAAGAGGGTGGCTTTGGCCAGCCACTGATGACTTTCAGTGAGGTGCACTTGGTTCCTACTGGCCTAGGAAAAAATAGGCAGTGGTTAAAATAAAGGCATATCCTATAACTCAGTGATCCTGGTTCATCTTTCCTGGCTCGTTTTCAGTCTATCTTGTTTCTTCTCTGGTTGTTTGGCTGTTCCTACAGCAATTTTACTTTGGTCTTCAAACACCTCCAACCCTCTTGTTTTGTTTTTTCCCCCCATCCTTGCTTTACTGCCAACAGTAAAATGATGTGAGAGCCCCCTTAAGTTACCTGGATGGGGGGGCTTTTGTGAAGTGGGGTCTCTGTATCCCAGGGGAAACACCAGAAATTTTGAGAAATAAATACCTGAAAAGGAAGCCAGGTACTGTGACAAATGCCTGTGATCCTAGCCCATGGGAGGTGGATGCATGAGGAGGCATGGGGATCAGGAGTTAAAGGCTAGCCCTCATTACATAGCGAGATGGAGAGTAGCCTGAGCTATATGAGACCCTGTCTCAAGAGAAATAAAGAAATGAACCTGAAAACTTATCTGCAGTATCCCCAGGCTGGAAGTACTAACCGGTGTGACTCTGTGGAAACAGATTCTGGGGTAGAAGCCTCTGATTCTGAGGTAAGAAGATCTGGGAGTGACAAGGGAGAACTTGTAACCATGGTCTAGATACAGCTCACTCACGCCGGGGTGACGCCTGGAGCCTGGTCATTTGGGTGGCTGGGCCTGTCCCACCTCCCCTCCTCATGTACTCCTCCCAGCCTCTTCCTAGGCCCTCCCACCCCCAAGCCAGCCTCAGGCCTGGCTGCAGACATCTGCAGGTCTGAGCCACACAGACCCAGCCCGAGGTCGCCTCTCTGCCTCCCACTATGAATTCTGGGCTGTGGTCCTGCTCGTTCTTGTCTGTCAGATTGCAGTTCTGATGCTGTCAGCCATGCCTGACCAATCAGCACACACCACCACGGGATGAAATTTAAACAATGCAGATGCTCAAATGCAGGGTTTTGTTGCGTGGACCACGAAGGGAGAGCAGAGGTAAGGCCCGGAGTCTCCCCGAAGTGGTCTGTCCCCAGCCTGCTTGGCCTGACACTTCCTAAGGGACACTTCTGCTTTGCCTTGTTGCCATCTGCTTTCCCTACCTTTCCTCACCGCCACTCACCAGAACTTTGGTTTTCATCCCCTGCCCATGCAACTCCACTCTGTTCAGTGCCGTTACTTACCCCCCCTCCCTCTTGGCTTCAGTGTTCTCGTGGACCTCTAGTCTGCAGGACCTTGCTCAGGTCCTGCCACACTTAAAGGGAGAACGGGCTGCTGGGATCAGGACAGACGTATGGAATTAATAGGCTTTATTAATTTTCCCCACTGCTGGACAGTGGAATTTATCTTCAGGTTATAAACATAGTTGGCTTTCTTACCAGTGAGATGTATTGAATTTTAAATTGAGTTTAAATCTCCTTTTTTTGGAACTGGTTTACATAGAAAGGATATAAATAGATCCGATCTAAATGAGGAGGCATCAGCCCATCTTGAGTCTTGGGGGTTGGGGATTGCTCTCTGTCCCTCTTCCTACAGTTACCAGTGTTCACTCACCAGTTTCCCGCTGGCAGAGGAACCATGTGGCTGTCATCCTCTTCTGTTTTAAGTATTTAGTTGGTCCTTTTATAACTTAGAGTGTTTACAGGGTTCTGTACTCCCTCGTCCCATCTGGAAAATATTTAAACTTCATACGATCTATAAGATGAAAATACCACATATAAGGGGCTAGGCAGAAGGAAGAGAACGAAGAGCCATGGCGGCGTGTGTTTAGACTCAGTTGTTTGCTCAGAAGCGGCTGCTGGAGGAATTGGAACAAATAGCTTGTGTGGGGGGAATGGTTTGGTCCAGGGCTGTACATTCCACCACAGAATGAGCCTTGGTTTGTAAAACTGACGTTCTGTTGTGACTTCCAGATCCAAACAAATCTCTGCAAATTTCTGCCCGATCGAGTTAATAAGAAAATATATACATGCAGAGGCGAGAGCCGCGTGCTACTTGGCGGTTCTGTCAGTGCGGGTGGAAACAGGAGACGGATTTTACCTACTGTATTAACAGCCAGCCGGTTACTGCCAGGACCTCCAGCTCGCTCGTTTGCTCGATTTTCTTTCTTTCTTTCTTTCTTTCTTCCTTTCTTTTTCTTTCTCCTATGGAGAACAATGGCATGCAGAAAAAGTCTCTGACCAGGAGAGTAGCAGATACAGGGTTGGGGTCACTTTTCTTCTGATTGCCTTGTAATTAGGGAGTGGTTTCTACTTTCCCACTCCCTCACAGATGTGGTTTAGAAGGGACAGGCTTTTGTCCTCGCCGGATGTGCAGAGGAACCAGAGGGTCATTCCCTGCTCTAGGCTTGTGATCGGCTTCACACCTGGCCTCATTTCCCTCCATGACCGATGACCTTGCGTTAACCCGGGGTGACCCTTAGCCTCTGCCTGTTCTCGGGGCTGAGTTCTTGGCTGGTGGACCCTCCTCCCTCTCTCATTTACAGGTGGTTCCTGGAGCCTCATACACTTGTTTTTCGTGGTGCCTGGTGCACTTAGCAGCCCGGCAAGACCTGCAATTTCATCCCTCTCAAGGGGCCGAGAAAGGGCTGCGGGGGGTGGGGGTGGGTTGCAGAGAGAGAGAGGGAGAGAGAGAGAGGTTGCTGTTTGCATGTGCTTTTCTATTTTGTGGCTCATATGGTATCAATTACCATTTGATGGCAACGCCAGGCCTGAGGCCCTTTGCATGTTTGTCCTGTGAGAAAGATCTGGAAGACCCGACATATGGTTTTGATTGCAGCAATTGCAGGTTGATGGAATGAGCGCAGGGGTGAGGTGGGTGGGTTCTCCTTCCGGCCCTTTCCACTCTGGGCTGCTAATGTGCTTTGCTTGTGGAACTGGTCTTTTCATCATCCACCCGCTCCCCACCTTCTCCTCTTCCCCCCCCCCCCACCTCTCTACCACTCTGCTTTCCCTGCCCTGCCTCCTTGGCACGTCCAAACCACCACTAGAAACATGTGGCCCACATTAAGGACCTTCAATTAAAACAAACAAAAAGAATTGTCCACTAGTCTGTTAAAGTCTTAGAGCAGGTCATTCCATCAAGATGGGCATGAGTATGCTGAAGTAGAAAACGAGGTGGGGCGGGGGGGAGGGGCAGGGATCAGGTCCCTCCCCGAGAAGCTCAGGACATGTTTTGAAAAGCCTGTTGCTTAAGGTTGTTAAACATTGAGTGATGCTGAAAAATGGTAGCAGTAGACATTGTGTGTGTGTGTGTGTGTGTGTGTGTGTGTGTGTGTGTGTGTGTGTGTGTGTGTGTTTATGGACACTTCTTGGAACTTGTTTGAGCTCATGCCATGAAGGGGTAGGGGCATGATGTGAAGGAGTTCTTTCAGATTCTGTCTGTCCATGCATCATCAGCCCTAAGATGGGGGAAAAAACATGGTCTGTGAGTATTTCTCCTGCCAAAAGGAGATGCCTGGAGGCCTGTCTGCCACACACAGTGTCTTCTTCCTTCCTGGATCTGTGATGGTAGGGGTTGCCCAGGAGAAGGCTGCTCAGTAATGATGCTCAACAGGGACTACATCTCTGATAGGTAAAGGGAAACTCTAGCGGGGAACTGGGGTAAAGAGAACACTGCAGACATGTTTCATGTTGCCCAGGAACATTTTCTGTGATTCCTTCGGGTTCACATGTAAAAGTGCCAAAGACTGGTGGCCCATCGAGTAGAAATTTCCTTTTTATTCTAACTATTACATTTGAAAATAATACATACAATTTGTACTTTACATAGTTTGAAAGGCAATGTTAGGTATCTTGTGTGTGTGTTTCTGTTAATAACTTCATTCAGTTGAAAACCAACCTAGGAATCAGAATACCTTGAATTACAAAAGCCCTTAATAAAGTTTTTGTAATTGATTACGTTTCCCCTAATAACGTTTTTTTAAAATGTGAGGTTGGCTAACTGTGGTGACTCAGGTTAACCCTAACCTGTGGGAAGCAGAAGCAGGCAGAGCTCTTTGAGTTCCAGGCCAAATCTGGTGTACATATTGAGTCCCAGGGCTACATGGTGAGACCCTATTTCAAGAAGGAAGGAAGGAAGGAAGGAAGGAAGGAAGGAAGGAAGGAAGGAAAAAGTGAGGTGCCGAATTGTTTGTTCTCCAGACCAGCTTTGCATGACAAAGCTTAGCTACATCTATTAAATGGTCATAAACCTGACTGGGATGGAGATGTCTATATATTAGGTTCTGTAGAGCAAAGCAAGCATATTGTTCCAGTGGTTATTGTGTTTCCAGGTATTTGCCTAGGCCGACTTCTTTGCTGTTTGGAGATATCTTCTCCTTGCTTTGTTAAATGGCTGAGTTTTAAGGACTTTGATAATGGTCCTGATTTTGACATCTTGTCATCTTACATGTGGATAAATGCTAGGAAATGCTTGCATTCAATGCAACTAGGAATTAGTTGAATAACTGTATTCACAACCACATTCTTTAAAAGCTGCTGTTTGGATATGTGACTAGTTTAATGTACACATATATAAAGATTAAGCATTTCTACCTCTTGTTTGTGCCTCCATTAGCTTCTTTGGGAGAGTTACATTGAGAAGTCTAATGTGGAAACATAACAATAACAACATGTGTGTGTGTGTGTGTGTGTGTGTGTGTGTGTGTGTGTGTGTGTGTGTGTGTGAATTCATACACATATACATACACATATATACACACACACAGACACACAGGCACACACACACACTGCTTTCGTGAAAGCACCACCGGTTCATTGCTACAAACAGATCTGTGCATGGGTTGCTGGCTTGACTTGGAGCATGCTAGGTCACTTAACAGCAGCTGTGCTG